CCCCCCCCCCGTGGGTTCAACTCCCCCCTCGGACGCCTCTGGGACACCTCTCGGGCATCTCTTATGGCATCCACTTTGGCTTAACTCCTCCGGGATACGGTGCAACAGATTCAACAAGCTCACAGGTTCGTGAACCCATCGGATGCATCGAACAGTATGGCAAAGTCCAGCCACGCTTCCTTAATTATCGGGGACTTCAATTCTAAGGTTGGCTGTGTCATTGCTGTTTGTGTGTCTTACATGTTCACAACGTTTTACCTCATGAGCATTTGCCTCACTCCGCTTGATGTCCCACCAGTCCGGATGCACCCCTGCTAGCTTTCGTCACCTACCCTCGGCCTCAAGTCCCTTTCTTTGTGCCAGACAAAGTCGTGTTCTTCCACCTATGGTGGAACCCATTTCTGGGTGATGCTCGCCGTGAGACGAGGTCCTTGCGGATGATCGAGCTCGCGTTGCTGCAGTGCCGAAAGAGAAAGGCGTGGTAACACGCGCGCGCGCGCGCGGGATGTAGCACCTGGGGAGGAGCTCCTGAAATCAGAGCTGTCTCATTGAAATCATGAGCCCTCATAAGGCAGAGAGACGGAAAGGGAGGGAGAGTCCGTTTGGCCCGTACCAAACGGACTCACCTGCAAATGGGATGGCCTTGGCCCTGAAAACCGTGTTCCCCACAACCTGCTTTCAAAATACATCCACGAAAACACACTTCCATGTTAGATAGCGGGTCAAGAGTGCAGCCTTTTGGTATGGAGAAGCTTAGCTGCACCATTCGTCCGCCTCTCAGCCCATCTCCAAAGACACGACGGCCATGCGGCCCAGCGCTGCCCGCGCTCGGCGCCCAGGCTGTTGAGGTGGAAGACTTCGATTTGGCGCACCGGCTGAAGCAGCCAGGGGCCCCAAAAAGGAGAGAACGGACCACCCCAAAGAGACTGTAGACGGGGGGTTCTCCAGCAACTTGAAGCAATCCTTAGAAGCAAACATGTCCACTCAAGAAATCTGCCGCCCCCAAAGAGTCTTGCTGTTTCTTTGTGCAGGGGAGTCACGAGGTCGCCGGAGAGGTCGAAACAATACACATCAACTTAGGATTCTTTCTGGCCTGTTTGGCACTGGGGCACATCATGGAAAGCTGCACCTGTTTGCTTGAGAACTTCAATACCATCATGACCAGTGCAGCTCAGGAAGGCCAAAACCATCCAAAACCCATGCCTTCATATGGCACCAGGAATCCCTGCAATTTTGGTTGACTGCCGTTGTTTGCGGTTGCTGTGCGGTGAGGCGCGAGCCGGCGGCCACGCTTCGACTCACAGCAGCCCGCAGAGCATGCCTTGCAGCGACCTGAGGGCCAAGGTTTCTTGCCAGTGGGCCCAAGGACCCGCAGCTTTTGGTATGATATGATACAAGTTATGCCAGTATATGTTGATAACATGTTTATGATATGATTGATATGCATCATGTCCTTGATGTGTTGGTGGCTCGTTCTCTCATTCCTTACCAAGCACCAGTTTGTATCATGTGCATTCCCCCATGATAATGGATGCTTGCTTCAAACGGCACTCATATGGAAGCTTTGAGGCCAGCAAGGATGCACCGGCAGCTGTTAAGGAGGCTTCGTCGTGCTGGGGGTGGAAATGTTTTCGAGCACAGAAAGGTGCAACTGCAACTGCTCGTGTTCCATCTCAGCTTGAAACAGAGACCACTACGAGTATGACAAGGACAGTAGGTTCAGAGTGGGGTCTTTTCTGAGTTGATCGCAGAACCGCAGCGAGACCGCTGCTACAGTGCCTCCGGAGCATTTAGCCTCTGCATGTCGTGTGGCCTCGTCCAAGTCCACATGACGTCTCAATCTGACTGATGCAGGCAGACCAGGAAGATCGGAAGAGGTTGAGAAGTCCAGAGGAAGAGGACCGACACGTCCTCGCAGCGCCAACATCTTCCAGACCTGGCAGGTCTTAGAGCCCTGGCAGGTATTTTAGAACTTGTAATGCCCTTGTTACTAGTAGCTTCTTGATCCTAGTAGTAATGCCAGGAGCTACTAGTAGCGATGCCCTTGTTACTAGTAGTGTCTACGGAATAAGGTCACTTGTTGATCCCTGAGCCTAGTTGATTAGCCTGAGCAAGAACTGGTCGGGTTTTTAACAGCCCGGATTCGACGAGGTTTTCGTTGGTCAAGAATGTATGTGCAGGAGCTCCAAGCTGTCAAACGACAAAAGCAAGAAGCAGTCGAGCAAGAGGTGGGCGGCTGCCAGCAGTTTTGCAGCGCCGAGTTTTTGCAGTAGCTAACTAGCTAACCCTCCACCATAGAAGTCTAGTCTCGGTGCACATTTCGTGGGTCAAACTTTTACTCTGGGTCCCTTGCAAAAGAGCGGCCAACTCTACGGGATCATGGTGGCCATCCGTCGGCGGTCAGGACTTCGCCCGAGCCAGTGAGCTCCGTCGCCGCGAGCCCGGGCGCTGAAGTCCGGGCAGTCCGGCCATGCAAGGATGAGACATCATGCTTCAGAGGATCATCCCGGATGAATGATTTGGGACATCATGTTTTTGGCGCCCGTGGATGCCCAACTTGGCATCTCCCCTTCTGGCACATTTCCCAACTTGGCATCTGGCAGTGTTGAAAAAGTGAGATTAAAGTGGCAACAGGACTCCAAAGCTGGGATGGCCGTTTGTATTCTGCATTGCTACCCACCAGGCCTGCGGTCGCTGAGGGATTCGCGAGGGGATTTGGGCATATGGGGCATCCTTCGAATCCTGCCACTCCGAAAAGGAGCCCAACAGATGCCAGACGCTGCATGTAAACAGGGTCAAACATCTCCATATGCAGGTTTAGCAATCATCTTTTAATTGGGATGCAGGTTTTGTATCCATATGCAGGTCAATTTTGCATATGCTCCATAACAGAATGGTCAACTGTCAAGATATGTCCGTCGTGTTCCACCGCTCACTGAGGCTGGAGTTGGAGAGACGCTCGCGGGGCGATGACGCCCAAGCAGCAGCAGGGGGGCCACTGTGGGTGCAAAACCGCGGGGAAAGGGGAAGAAATGAAACTATCGTCATGGGTTGGGAATATCTGCATTCAGCATAATTTAGCAATGGCGGACAGATGTTCCACCATGTTCCAACTTTCAGCTGGTTGTTTTACATTCAACACAGCCGGATGGGGCATGGTGTATTCAAACAATCAGATTGTGTTCCATAAAGAGGAATGGCCCAGGCTGCTTTGTCAAGTTGATCATGGTGTATTCAAATAGAATTTGCCCTAAGTTTGTGGCGCAAAGGGGGACGCTGCAGAACCCAGATCCAAGACATTGGTCTATACAGGCAAAAGACAATGTCGTCACTTTTTTGGAGGCTCTGCGGATTGCTGCTGCTGCGTTGCTGGTTTGCTGCTGCTGCTGCTGGCTGCTTGCTCCTGCTCAGAATCTTCCAACCCTCTACCTTTCGTCCACCTCCGTCGCCTCAAGTCGAGTCACCTGATGTGTCTAAAGTTGGTGGCATAATTAGTACAGCGTTCCATTAGGAAGCGGATGTCTGTAAATCAATCAAAACCACACTCTTTCAGAACTAGCGTTCCATTGGTCTTTGCACTCTTTGGGTCGGCTTTTTTGGTGACACCTTGATTGGGTATCAGCGTTCCATTGGGGTTGGCTCCCGGGGGTGACTGGGGGATGACTTTTTGGAAACAGCGTTGACATGGTGATTTGGCATTGAAACAGTGACCAGGGATGACTGAGGGTCGAGGGATGACTTTGTCAGGTTCCTGTATCGGACCACTGGCAACATGGCATTGGAAAACATGGTGCTCTGGCGGGACAGGCCATAAGGCAGACATAGCCTATGATGTAGGCATGCCTACATTGACCCTGAAACCAGCCCAATGTATACCCGTCCAGGGGAGCGTTTGAGTAAGCAAATGGCTACAATTCAAAAGGCAGGGCTAGGTAGGCGAAGTCGTCGGACCGGGCCCTCCACGGCTTCGCTACCGAGGCGGCAGCGCTTCAGCTGCTCGGCGAAGCATCACCTGAGGCCGAAGGGAGAGCGAATCAGCCGGGCCTTTCTTTTGGTGGTTGGGTTGTCATCATGTGGCGGCCCTGAAAAGCGATGCAAAGCTTCAGGTGCTAAATGGTGCTAAGGTTCCAAGACACTGAGGTACATGTACACCCTGGAAAACCACCCGGCATTGGTTGATCCTTCACAGAATCAGAAGATATCAGAAGTGCACAATGCTAAAGCGGGTAGGCCTAATTTTGCAATCGTGGGTTGAATATTTGATCCTTGGTAGCAACTCTAACTATATCAACAAGTTACTGTACGTAACTACTTCTTTCCATTTTGTCATATCTTGTCCTTGTGGTTTCGACCACTTTCTTCTCACCTTCATGCAGTTCGAAATAAATCACTGTGGCCAGCGTGGAAACTGGCGTTTCTTTGCCCAGGACTTGTTGAAGAGCATTGACCCAGGGGTGGCCGAATGTGCCGGCGGCGGCCAGGAGGTCTGGGAGGTGCGAATGGGAAAAGCCTGAACCAAAAGCTACCCACATGCAGTAGCTTTAAGCCATTGACTGTTGAAGTGGCGACTGCTTAGTAAAAACGGAACGCCCAAACAAACTGTATGAGGACTGCTGTTGTATACGTGATGCTAGCTTACCGGTTGCATCCGGTTGCTAGGATTTTCGGCGACAGGGAAGGATCCCCTCAATTCCCCTCGCTTCAGTATGTCAGTGGGATGTCGACTGCAACACTTTTTTCTTTTGCCTTGGAGCCTTGAGCCGCTTCAAACCATCACACCAATGATGGTCATTGGTGGTCCCCTTTTCGGGAAACCCCGAAAGCTTCAGATCTGTTTGCCTCCACTTTGATTGATCTCCATTGAAACTGGAACCCCCCTTCACAGCTGGAAACCCAGCGCCGCAGGCGGTTTCAGCAGATCTTCAAGTTGCAGCTGCTGCGTCGTGACCGTTGAAAAAAACTCCAAGGCCTCAGCTGAAGGGGAGCGGTGACTGAAGAGGAAGGAAGCTATGGAGGAAACTGATTCAGGAGACTTTGTTTGAAGAGCATGGTTCAGATGAAAAGGATTTAGACATATTTAGACCACAAAATGTCATATATATATAACTACTTATATAATTATATATACCACATATATTATGTATAGTACCACATCTATACTGTACCACGATATCATTTCTCTCATAATGTGGGTCGTTGCTATAGATGTTCTTTTTGGGGTTCCGGTGCATTTCGGTGGAACAGAGATGAGCAGGCTGCAGGCTCCTGAGAGTCCGTGAAGTCTCCAAAGAATTCTGTCACGCTGCTCATGGAGCCGGGGACGGTAGGCCGTGCCAAAAGAGCACACACATTTGGAAGTGCCCGGGAAGTTGCGCCCGGACGGCATTTCAATCGGTTCCCGCCAAGTTTTATCTTTATGGATGTTCCTTCAGCGGTCTATTTCGGCCATAGGGGTGTGGGTCTATAGTATGTACTTGTAGAACTTTTACCTCCTTTTAAGCTGTTCTGAGGTGCATGCTCTTTGGGGATTCCACTGCTTGCATTCTGCAGGTGTACCAGATCCACTAGCAGACACTAGCAAGCAAAAAGTTATACATGTTGCCATGTTGCATTGCTACATCATACCAGAGATCACTAGAGTGTAGTTGTCCTTGCTCAAGATTCAGCGGGCCGTGTCCTCCCGGTCACTTCCTTTGATAACGCAACTTATGCGCCCCGTGCCGGACATGGGGTTCCGAGACCCGCCCGGACATGGGTGGAGTCGAGAAAAGGCTCATTTGCGTGTCACGAGTCCTGCAATCGACCTGACCTATGCTGGCCTTTCGAGTGCGCAGAGTATGATTTGGGGATATGTGGTGCTTTCCACAGGAATGTGGAGGGTGTGAATAGAGGAAGCATGCAATTATAAACCAAGTAACCTCCACCGACAAGAAAGCCAATCAAGGGAAGACTTCGAACGCGGAGGCCACCGCTAACATTGTTCGAAGGCAGTACCCAAAGCTCCAAATCCCTGATGAAACCTTTGACACAGATGAGTGGTGCATTGAACTGCTTGTTTCTTCGCTTACTTGTGCCTTCCTTAACTGAAAACACCGGAAAGCGATGGAAAGCGTGCGATATGTTCATCTTTCCTGTTCGAAGCACCATCGGCACCCAAGTGGGTCAAGAGCACATGACGCTCATCCCGCAGTTCTGGGCTCGGACAGCGCCTCCCGCCGCCGCGCTGGGCGGGACTCGTTTCGCTGCAAGGCGGGCTGCAAGGCTCCACGGGAGTCGTTCACGACCGGCTCGAAGGAGGAAGACGCCCAGAGAGGGTATTGACAATGATTTATCGGAATCATGATGGGAATATGTGGGATGTATTTTTTGCAGTGTTTTTTCATACTTCAAACTTCGACCTGAATTGATCACGAAAGCTAGCACCAGCTAGCTGGAGTTCTCCTTGCTTTAGCAAGTGAGGGGCTGGAATCCTCGAGATCGCCGCATCACGTGAAAACTTCATATGTAGGGGGCCCCCCCCCAAGGGTTCAACTGCCCCCTGGGACGCCTCTGGGACACCTCTTGGACACCTCTTATGGCATCCACTTTGAATGCTAAGGTTCGCTGTGTCATTGCTGTTCTTGTGTCTTACATGTTCACAACGTTTTACCTCATGAGCAAAGCCTTGTAAACCATCCTTCCAACAGCCCCAGGCCTATGAAAAATAACATTGTCCCACCAGTCCTTGGTCACTGGACGGCGCTCTATGCTTCGCCTCCACTGACACGGATGCACCCCTGCTAGCTTTCGTCACCTACCATCGGCCTCAAGTTGAATTTGCTGCGGCTGGTGTGTGAGACCAACTACATTTGCTCAGTGCTGGCCCACCTGACCACACAATTGCGTGCATCGACTGAGCCATTCGATTTCACCAGAATGGCATTGGACAAACCTGAGATTCTTGAGATTTCGTTGGTTCATGAAATGGTGGACTCGGTGGCCACCGTCGCGGACGTTGGCTCGCCAGCCTCGCCTCGCATCCAGGCGATGGACCTCGCTCACTTAGTACCTTGGTTTCGACGCATCCGGCAAGCCAGCGGCTAGCCATGGGGAGGACTGTGGGAGAGCAAAGGTATGCAGGAGCTGAAGACTGGGCGAGTGAAGTGTCCCAAGAGCTCATGGCCTAGTGCATCATGTTGGGACTTGAGGCGGATCTAAATGTACTGTAAGCCTGAAATTAAGAATGCCAATTAGATTTCAATTAATATAGTATTAAGGCTTGGTTTGTACTGGCATAAGTACCGGCATACACCTGTGAGGCAAGTGTGACAACACCGCACGTGCAGGAAAGGGTATCGTTTTTGCAGTTCCCACCCTTTGCAAACTGAAATGCAGCAGACTCCACTACAAGACAAAGCTCCATGATTTTTCTCCATGATCTTACAGCATCTTACAGCTCTTTTTGTTCCCATCATTGTGCTTGATTGCATTGATTGCATTTGGGCCGGTCCAGTACATAACATAGCAAGAACCCTTTCTCCACATGGTTCAAAGCCACCACCTGCAGTTCGATGGCTGAGGTGACGGTTGGCTTGGTCGCTGCGAAGCATGAACCGCTGAGCAGCGCCTTGAATTCATGGGGGGCTGGAGGATGGGGTCCAACTGGAAGATGGACGCCCACCCAGCTGCTGATTCATTCAAACAAGTCGGCTATATATAGTTTTGGGGATCACTTTGTGGTCGAACATGGTCGCACTATAACATCTTCACTACACTTGTAGAACAAGAGGGCCGAATACAAAAAGCTCAGACTGTTGGAACTGGTTCTCCGATGGACCCGAGGTAGCTGGCCCCCAGGTGTAGACGCTCCCAGGTGCGGACTTGGCTTACTTCCGTCAGCACGGCGTGGACGATGTGCTTGCGGACCGGGCGCCGACCCGTCACCGGGCGCTTCGTCCGGCGGTTCCATCGCTGTCCGAGCGGATGGACGGCGTAGCCAAGCAGTTCATTGATTTGGAAGGCGAAAGCACGAGAAGGCTTGGGTTTCCAAGCAATTTAGTTTTCACGAAAGGTAGCGGTTACGCTACCTGAGTTTTCCTTTTGCTTTAGCAAAAATGTATTAACCCAGAGCTGCAGCCTATCTCTCGGAGAAATGATCCCCGACATCTTCGTTTGCTGGCCGGGGGGGGGGG